TCGGTAAGCTATAACGGATTCCATTCTCCTTTCATTACCCACTGTGAACATTAGGCTTTGCTCCAAGTTGTCGACACCATCTTCCCTCTGCCTCAAACGATCTCCGTCAAGCGGTGGGCTGTGAACGACATGCCGCCACAGCAATGACATAGCGTGCGCTATTACTAAGTTGGCAGTGTGTTCTTTTGTTGCATTCGCCTCAAATGTCACACTCCAATGACACACAAAAACATTGACGCAAAGCTAAGCCAACATCGACACAGCTAATGGCTTACTCTCGCGCACTACTTCATTTACATCCGTTCATTTCCACCGAAGTCCTACGAGGTGACAGGATGAAAGAATGATTTTGGTTTGGGGGCTTGGTTCGAGGTGAGCGGTAAGAAGGGTGGACCGCGTGGTAAGTACCGTAGCAGTCGACCAGGTAATTTCGCAAATGATTAGCAAGTTAAGCGTGTAAACACTAGCACAAAATTTATACCTACTTATCAGTTTACAATGAAAAGTGTCGAAACAAACGCGATGATTTTGATCGGCGAAGACACTGACTTTAAGCATTCCTTTAACTCCTCACAGCGATGTGTTTGTAAAAGACTACCAATTTTACGAAACGTAACCATTGCAGTTGATAGAAAGAAACACCTTCCGTTGGAGACTTAAACAGACTCCAAACTGAGATAATTCTTTGGGTTGTCAGATTACCGCAACTTTAGTCATTTCTCCGCCTTCTCCCACCAGAACGTCCAATCGACCCTCCGCGCATTGCTCGGTCTTTCACCTCTTCGCGGTGTAAAACTTTAATTTTTAATTTAAACCACCCTCTTTCCCTTCATTAATTTATTCTTTGGTCACCTCATCATTCACTCATGGGAAGAATTTTGAAGTCCCTCAACCGATGTTTTTCTCTTTCTTATCAAAGTGAAATTAGGGCACAACCACTGATTTTGGGAGCATCTTAGTGTTGGGCGAATTAGTTGCGAGTCACCGTAATTTAAAACGGTTTTAAGTGTTGATACATGGCCCCAAGAGTCTCTCCTGAAGGCGCAACAAAACCATCGTCAATGTGAAGAGTGGCTGGATGGCTATGGACGCAGTCGAGTTCCTTTCTTTCGTGTTTAAATGCAGACTTTGCAGAACGACGACCAAGACATACAAACGATGTAAACGTCACTCGCATTCTATCGTTTGCTAAAGTTTTATTTCGTACCTTATTAATTGGAAGTTCTTCCAATGTTGGGCGGTAATGCGCCCTCCCACTAGACCATTCCCAGCTGTGAGTGTAGAGGAAAATGTCGTTTGTACAGAAGCACAAGGCGTAATTGCTTTTCCTTCCAACCCGTCTACACTTCGTGAAGAGAAGATGACGTGTAACTTCTAAAACCATTCATTGCCATCGTCTACGAGGGCAGAAGTTCTCTTCACGCTTTCATCGCATCAACTTTTTCCAATTTTAGCCTCCACGTTAGAGCAAGTTCACTTGGACAGAGCATGCAGTCTGGGGCTCATATGTCATTATTTAACTGCTACTCTAATCACAGGTTGCAATCTTATCACATCCCTATTGTCACCGAGCCCGTAAAATGGAGAGTTTTAGCGCAGTCTTTTATGCTTCAAATCGGGAGTAACGCATACAAATCAGTCACTCACGAAGATATAAAGTAGTTGCCCTTGAGATAAGGACGATGCAGTTAGATGAAACCAGAAATTACCTTTATTCGTGGATAGAAGAGAATAAAAAGTAGCACCACAACCACTCTAAAGCAACCTTCCCGCCTGCGAACCTTGAAGCAAACTTTTATTGCCTTATTTGGGTTTATACGAGCATGAAGTCGGTAGCCTCAAAGGAAGATTAACGCATGATAAAGTCGACTGCCTTGGATGAGGAAGGAGGGCTAGTGGGTAAGTGTTTTCAGGTATCGTCTTCTACCCTCTCAGCACGTCTATTGGTGTAGTTCAGTCTCTCGCCCACCGGTGCCAAAGAATCGCGTCTCAAGCAAGCGAACGCGATGGCACACGTGACTATCGCTAAAGTCATGTTTACTTGAATCTGACGGCATCGTGTTGGACGCATTTCTCATTAACAAATCATTATGCTGTGATGAGATTCACAAGTTGGGTTTACGAATTGGACCACAATAAGACCGCTTTAATTCCGCGTTTGAATGCATAAACAGAAGTGGTTTTGGATGGTGCCTTGCTGAAAATAGGTAAATGGAGTGAAATAACGCCTCCGTTGGTAGCGACTGAATGGCGGAAGTCTTTCGTTCATACTGACCACCAGAGTGTGCGTCTGCTATTAATCGCGTGGGCAAGGCTGCCATAGTCCTCGTTTGATCGCCTCATGTTCCATAAACTCTCTCCTGGGGCCAAAGGACGAAGAAGTAAATTAGCCTTCCCCATTTTTTTATCGAATCACCAAAACACTGTCCCTTTTGTTGATGTCATCGTGCATCGAGCTGCGATTGGGCCAAAGTGCGCTGCACAGGCGGAGGACGAACTCAAACATCGCACCTTTCAAAAGGATGTTCATGCAAAGTTTGTTTTTCTCTTATGATAAGATAAGTTAATCCTTGTTTTTATGTAAAAGGTGGAGGAAGTGTAAGCATCTCTCCCAAATACAATTTAGCCGTAGAAACAACTGCCATCACAGTAGCCAAACGAAGCACACACTTGACACTTCCATACTCACACAATGTCCCGTGCTAAGAACGCAGGCCTTCAGCCTCCTCCTTCAATTGTCTTTCACCTTTGCTTTCTTTTTTTTTGGTAGCTTATCCCATTTCGGCCGTGGCCATGTGATTGTCGTGCGCCAATGCCAAGACATGGCGATGGTTATTATCTTGTCGATGAATTATCACGACAACAAAAAGATGTTCTTATCTCCACTCCATACTCATTTCACCCTAAAGACCATATCTTATCATGGATGCGTCTGTAACACGCTACTTGAGGTCCTACGTTAATATGTTACGGCATGTCATTGTCGTGCCTCCTCATTTTGACAGAAAAAGGAAAGACTGTCCTCCTCTTGCCTCCTCATTCATAGAATAGTCGCAGTAGATTAAAATTTTTCAATCCCGGATTGCCTCAGCAGTGCACTCCCACGCACAAAGAGAATAAAAGTTCTCCATTTTAAATGTTAGTCTTTTAGATGTGGCACGGTGGCAAGTGAACGATTGTCTAATTGTATAATCGTCAAAAATGCCTCCTTTCAATCCACTGTGGACTCAATGCAAAGATCAAATCATCTCACAAATCATTTATTCGTTCAGTAGGCTGGCAAACCACCTCGACAAAAAGCATAAAAATATTTTTAGGAATGCGTTTTGAATAAGTTTAAGTAAATTGAGAAACGATTATGTGAAATAAAGTTTGGAGAAGAGCGAGTCGGTCATTCATGCATGCATGCATGCGTGTGAATGGAACCCATCTGCGCCCCAAAACCGATGTGACCATCGGTCTCCACTGAGTGCTGTCACTTTCGCTTTAGCCTCAGCTCGAGTAAAATCAGTCAGAAGTGAGAGGTGACAGGTGACGAGTGACTCTTGGTGGTAGAGGACTGCCTCAAATGGCATTCATGGTGAAACAAATTTATGAACATATTCGGCTATTTTTAGATGATTAATGGTTGATGTTTCGCTGTCGCACTATCTGAAAATGTCACAATAATGCCAAGAAACGGCTTGGCTGAGAAGCTTCATGATATCACACGCCATGATTTGGGATGATTAGGCACTTGAGGGCGGAGGCTAAGCTAAAAGTGAGGAAAAGTGATGGTGCTGCAGTAACGTCTACCATGACAGTAGAGTCGACCTGGCCTGCCGTCACCCTGTCAATAGCGTATACAAATAATCGCATGAAGTTGACAGGTACCTGCAAGTTTACACTCCGGCTAAGATGAACATTTTGAGTATCTCGATAAACAACGCCTACCTTTTATGGATAAAACAATCCCGTTACTGACATACTATAAAAACTAAATCACTTTGACATCCTTTAGCAAGGTGGCCCAAAATCCTCATGCCTGCTTATATGGACGCCCTGTTGATGACCCTTTGACCTCATATCCTTCGCCTGAAACCAACATTTTCTGCTGAGTTGATCTGAGTCTGCTCTTAGTGAATGTGAGGCCATAGACGGTTGTATTTTAGTTGATAGAGGCATTTTGTTCGCAGAAGGTGGACGCCGGAAATAGCAGGCAATAAAGACCACCCAAACTCTACACCAAGGGAACTTAAAATAATAAGATGAGAATATGGAGATGTCAAGGCCTCAAAGCCTGTTACTTCACATTCACTTCCCCTCTAGTCTACACCGGAAGAGGAGAGAGGAGGCGACCAAGAGATGAGGTGACAACTAGCCTCCTTTTGTTTCTTTGTTTACGACTTTCAGTAATGTGAGTGATTTATAGTTGCGACCACTTTCCCCCCCTTTGAACCAGTCACCAATAGCCGGCTGTGCAATTTATAAGTGCAATTTTGCTAAGCTCCTTACATTTGGTTCCTCAGTTCTTGTCACATTCTTTGATAGTTTTTTATTCACCAAGCCTAAGTCCTTGCAAAAATTCTAAAGTAAAAAACCATGTGACCTCAGGTGTATAGGGTTGAGAGGTTTCATTCGCTGAATCTGTTAACAACGATGGTGCTCAGCAGAATTAAGCCCTGCATCTCGTCAGCGCAACTTTGTATAATTTTACGAAATAACTGCAGCGGATTGAACTTTTATGAGCGTAGATATGTTACTTGGATCATGTAAAATGTTGCTTGGCTTGGTGTGAATGCCACTTCTCTCATTAAAGTGCGTTTAAAGTTGTATATAAATCACCAAATGGTGTTGAGGGAGGATACTGAAGCTCCACTGGTAAATATTTTGCAAGTACTTGGCCGCCATTGGGTGTGGTCAGTCAGCCAATCAGAACGGAGTTTAGCAATGAGGTCGCTATACTAAACTTCACCTGCCTTTACAATTTTCGCTGCACATGGTATGACCTTTGCAGCGAAATGGAGGCCCTAACCACCCTGCGCATTACGACTATGAACAATACCCCCAGCAATAGCGCCATTTTTAGTGACGTTGAGGTATTTCGTGCAATCGCTGTAATGGCTGCAGTCATCGTGATTGGGAGCATCGGCAATACCCTTGTGATCTCGGTGCTTTGCCTTAAGAACTGCTCCACCAACAACCGATGGAACCAGTACCGACGTCGAAATCAGTCTAGCATCTCTGAAAATAGCGAAACGGGTGCTTTTGGTCGAGACAAAACTTTGGACTTTTTTATCCTTGTTTTGGCTGTCTCGGATCTCCTAGTCTGCATCATCATCATCCCAGCCACCATCACAATGGAGATTAATCAATTTCGTATCAGTATCGATGGTCTCTGCAAGCTCTTCTACGTCCTATTCGTTACTAACACCACATTCTCCTCCCTGATCATCTCCGCAGTGGCACTTGATCGGTATCTCTTTATTTGTCACTCACTGAAGCATATTCTCACCCTAATTCGAGCAAAGATTCTCGTCTCCACTCTGGCTTTATTTTCTCTCTGCGTCGGCATTGCTGCAGGTTGTGTGGTGGGCGTCAAGGCTTTGCATCCCAATACAACAGAAGACAACGCACAAACCACCTACATTTGCGAGGAGAATGAGTATGTACGAGGGATTAGTGAGCTACAAAAAACTGTTTCACAAATCATCAAGTACCTTAATCACGCTTGCTATCTAGCTTGCATTCTCATAGTTCTCATTCTCTACTCTTGTGTCTTCTGGGCCATTGTTACTTCACGATCTCGTAGTCAGAGGCTCACCGTGTCCTCTCAGACAGCGCGACAAAATGGTCGCGATTCTGCATATCCGGAGGAATCCACTGCTAATTCAAGACTATCTCGACAACGGATGGCCAACTTGCCGTCCAAGTTGCGACAGAAGGCCCAGTACACGTTACAGAATCTCCGCTCTGCACTCATGCTCTTTATCATTGCCCTTGTCTACATTTTAACCTTCGTGCCCTCTCTGGTGATAGCAAACGGCTGGGCGCCACAGAATCTAGTGCTTCTCTACCTTTACTACGTCAACAGCGCCGCCAACCCCTGCATCTATGCCATCTTCACACCCTCCTTTCGTCGGATAGTCGCTATCCTTATCCGCAACTGCTTCTGCAGGAGCAGCAGCACGCATCCTCCCACCAGTGGTAGAAGTTTAGAACACTCGCACCCCATTGTTCCCATTAGCATTGGTGTCACACATGCCAGCAATCGAGGCTTCAACCGGATAGGCAAGAAGAAACGAGCAATTGAGGAGGCTTATCCATTTATCTCGAGAGAGGAGCGAATGGCTGCAGCTGCGGCCGCTACTGCCGCCGCAACAGCGGTTACTTCAACATCTGCGGTGTCATGTTCCAAGCCCAATGTCGATGCAAGTGATTTATAACTTTCTGCGTTACTGTACGTAATATTTTTGTATAAAATCGACTCTCCAATCTGTGTATGCTCGTTAGTCCCGTTCAGCATGTGTTTGGATGTCAGCAAAGTTTAAGGACGGAGCGGTGCAAAGTACAAAATGCAACGTGGTGGTTTATTACCTCCGTGAGGTGAAGTATGTTTAAGTTTACTAACAGGTCATTGCTCAAGATGCGTCTCATTTCAGTCCTTGATACTTGACGCAAACCTCTTTAAATAGCTTTTTATCATCCCTTTTGTGACAGTTTTGGGCGCTGTGACGAATTTTTATGCACAGATCGGTTACTCTTCCTCTAGTGTGCTCCTTCGTAGGGCGGTAAGGCGAGAGTTGCAAGACGCCTAATTCATCTCAAACTCGGCAGAAGTGTACGATGAGCCTCAGACTTCTTAGTGTACGCTAATTATAGGCGACGCTGAATGTGGCTTTGTTTGGAGATGAAAACAGACGGTCAATAAGATAGCATTTTCTTCAAGAAGAGGAGGGAGTATTTATAGATGGTCCTTAATCCATTTTCCTTCCTCCAAATCTAATTTTCAGTGCTCAGCGACTTGGGAGTTGACACAAAAGTTTGCAAAAAAATAACCTATTTCGGTGGATGGCTGCCTCCACCAAATCCCGCAGTAGTTCGATTGGTGAAGCCGTTTCTACCTCCTTCCTTCCATCCATCCATCCACTCAAAAGGGCTATGTTGTGTAAAATCAAGGCTCTCAGTTTCCCTCAATAAGTGCAAGATGCATTCCACTTGTGTGCGCCTTCATTTCACACCCAACTTCCCACCCACAAAGTTTGTCAGTCGACACTAATCATCCATTATGAAGCATTGCCAACCACGATCGTGGGCTGGTGGATTGATCCGCGTCTTGAGGTAGGCAATGCAGTCCTCCAACCAGAACTATCGCCATTCAACACCTAAATTCGGTACCGAAATCACCGTTTGCTCCTCCACAAATGGGAAGGAAGCTCTCACTGTCGCCCGGTGGTGTGTGAGTTGATTGTCCACACATGTCTTCACACCAACAAGGGCAACGATGATCGGGAGGCATTTGTGAATGAATTTGCATTCCAATGAATATGTAATCAAGGCGATCACGGTTATGCATTCAGATATCTCAGTGTGTTTAGTGTAAGGGAGGAAAGACTGCAGGTCGAAGGAGATTATGCAAAAGGTCGAGTTTTTTTTTACTACCGAACTCCATCCAATGAGCCTTTAGTATCATCATCTCGTGCCTTTTTTCAGGCTGGACAGTGTAATATTTAGTAATATTCTAGTAATCCTTTGGTCTATACACATTCCTTCCCACAATGCACGTGAGTGGATGACCTGACGTCAGGAAAAAGGCAGTCCAACACCTTTCAACCACGTCCTGCTGCTGATACCAACATCGTTTGAGCACCTCGTGTTTCCCAGTTCGCGTCAAGGCGGATCGACTACGAAGACTTACATTTGCCTGCGAAATGCCATTTCCTTTGATGAAAGCTCTACACATCTACCTTGAATATGGAGCAATTTGAAATTCTCCTCCGCCCAATTTAACCGATAAATTGTGCAATTTTAGCAGAGGCATCCAGTCGTTCGGGATTACTTTGTTGGCTTAAATCGCATCTGAGGCACACACGGGCGTCTATCAATTTCTTCCCCATACGACGTGACATGAAGTCTTGCAATGCCAACCAAGCATATTTGTGGGTAATTTGCAAAAACGCATGTTCAGATTCGTAAAAGCAATGCTTTTGTGTGATTTAAAGGAGCCGTTTCCTTTGATGTGTGATGCGTGGCACTTTAATGGGTCCTATCGTGTCCCTAACTCTTTTGGAATTTTTGAAAAGGCACAAAGTTTCAAAAGCGGCTTTAAAATTCCATTGTAGCCCTGATGTCCTCCACGGCTTGGAGGGTTGTGGTCTCGGCAGAGCTAATTAAAGTGCGCATTCCAAGTCGCGGTCAGCTCTCTGGCTGAGGCCACTCCTAGTTTTTCACAAGCTAACAGACAAACAAAAAAAAGAAATCCGAGCACACAGACACACACACACAGACAGCGATACTATTTTTTGTGACCTTTCTGAGTGTCACACAAAAGTTGGCGCCATTTTGCGTCAAACCCCTCAAACCGTTGCTGTAGGTAGTCTGTGTGGACATATGGGACGGTGGTTTCAGGCGCATTTGTTTACACCATCGAGGGCAACTTTGAACTTGCCGTTTAGGCGAGAAGCTCCTGATGCATACAATACAATGAGTTGGGGTGGGAGGGAGAGGTCTTTGGGGGTGAATGCATTTAATTCTGTGAAATTAAGAGCATTGCAAATCTCTCACTTCAAACTCAACTGAGTGACACAGAATTACCGCGTCCAGTAAAGCGTTGATAGTTGCCTACGTAAGAATTGAATTAAGCGAGGGAGTTGCGGTGCACTGCGTTGAGTTCTCGTGTTTCCACCGACTTTTATTACCACTTTGCTTTATGACATGCATGCAACTTCAAGTTGTGGTTAGTTATTGTAACCCCAAAGGAAACCTGGCAGAATAAGGCAGCATTAATGTCTGTGTGAACGTGATGTCAGCTTCCCCAGGAGGCACAAATATTCTCACCACTACTGGAACTTCTTTGAATTGTGTTGGACATGTCCATGTACAATGTGTACTTTCAGGAGATCCCTGATTTCCTGGAAATGCACAGATACAGGCCCCATTTCTCTAGGGCTGTACAAGGCCTGACCCATGGCCCTATGAAAGAACACAACATTGATTACCATAAAGTTAGTTCCTTGCGTCTGAAGGCACACGCTCACATGTAGTTGCATGTAACCGTGTGTCACAATGACGATCTTTCTTTGGTGAAAAAAAGGAAAGAACAGACGGACGATACCTTGGCGCGCCAAAAGGTTTTTTTCGTGCCCCTCCTAAGGAGACGACAGTTGAGCCATGCTGCCACTCGCCTTCCAATTCCTCTCAAAAGGACTGAACTAAACTTTAGCATGATGTTTTTGATGGAAGAGAGCTGACAATTCAATACAGAGCATAATTTTAAGTCGGAAATTTGATGATTTAGTCTCCCACTACCGATCCCACTGTGGCGGCATCGTAACCAAATGAAAAACTGAACTGAAGCTGCAAGTACGGCAACTTGGAGTGAGTCAAGAGAGGAAGTGGAGCTGATCGGTGAGATTGCAATTGTTCCATGAAACATAAGAAGTGCTTAGAGATGCATGACGAGTTTCCCTTATTGCCCGCTTGATAATTGCGATCACTGAGTGCGGAAATGCTTCAAAGGCTTGCGTCCTTAATCTGTTTCATCATCGAGTGAGGCTGAATAGAGCGCTTGAACGCTCCCGCTCTTAGTCTACTGCATTCACATAGCCGACTCTTAAATGAAGGACTTTGGGGCGTAAGTTAAAAGAGTAAATAAACATAATTCTGCTGTCAAAAATGCATCACCTTCACCCCTCCTTCTCAAAGTCGCTCTCTAAAAAGTAGTCGTGACAGGGGTGGCAAAAAGACAGATTAGCTTTCCATTTGTTCTAGTCATGGTCGATGCGCTGAGAACGCCACCATCCCTCCGCCGAACACAGCGTTTGATCATTCGTCCCGGGATCTTCAGCTCTCCTAATTGAGAGCTGTTTGTCATACAATGGAACTTCGTGCCAGAAACGTCATTGGACTAGTCTTGAGGGCATGAAATGGATTCTGTGGAAATTAAGCGCAATTAAAGTCCGCGATATGGTCTACTGATGCTACAACGAAAGGCACGTTAATATTAATTTTAACTGATAGGTGATGTAAAGCAAAGTCAAATTGCTCCTGAAAAAAAAAACAAATTTAATTGATGAGGCATTGCTTATGAATAATCCATGCGTAGTGCAGCACAGAAGTCAGCACTACCTTCCTGAGACACTCGTCCTCGTCCCCACTACTATTCAAAACCTCGTTAAACTGTAATTTAATATGAAAAACAAAAGAAATCCCTAATCGACCTGCTAGCTCTTCGGCTTGTCTTTTCAACTGCCTTATAAACAAAATTGTACTGAGGCGTTACAGCACCGATTACAGGCGCCTGGTTTGATCTTATTTCCTCCATTTCGCGCCATTTAGCTGGAGACGCTGACGACAAGTCCGCCAAACGGCAATTACCAAAAGGTTCTCCCTGTAAACAACTGCAGAGTGTTTAAGATTCCACTTGTCACAACATCCACCTGTCACTTGACAGAAGAGAATAAGTGTTTTGGGAAAAATTTTTCACGTCAGTGTCAGGTCTATCTGTATGCAATGCGTCAACTTTAGTAGTTAAAAGAGACACCACAAAATAATTGGGCGAGTGTGAGAGATGTACACTTTCATGCAATGAAAGCACAACCACTTTGAACGGGATTTGATTAGGAGACTTTGACTTGTCATCAGGTTGGTTAGGGAGAAGCACCAGTCAATCTGTTGTCGCATTTTTTAACCACCTATTGAAGACTAATGTCGGTAGTGAGTTGAAGGTGGCGATTGGCAACCCCGTATGTCTGGTCATTGAAAAATTGTGGCAAAGAAGGTGAGAAAATTAGTAAAGTGTACTAACTTTTGCGGCTTCAAAGCGCCTTCAAATAGTGTTTCTTGCGTGACAACCTCGGATCGCACTGCTACTCACCACACAGCGGTGCTAATTAAATTTTTTTGATTTTCTGCAGCACCTTTAATGCCAAAACTCATGCAATCCCCTTGTCAAGGTTGGGCGTTACAATGTGAGCAGTCGAGGAATGGAGGCCGATTGGCAGCTGAAAGGGGTGAATGGATGCAATTCCATGGTTGCGCAAATTAACCCCTCCCCTCTCCCAAATCGAGCCTTTTTAGTATACTTTTCCTGATTTTGCTACCATTTTCCTCACACAGCACGAAGAAGTGCTTCAGCGGTCTCCAGGTTGATCCATTAAGAAATCTCTTTACAAAGCCTCCTAACGTCTCCCATTTTTTTCAACGCTCTTGCCATTTCACGCATTCA